TCCTTACATCACTTTTAAGGATGTCACCTCCTGGTGACAGGAATTGCAGCCATGTCCCTGCCACTTCCCATTATTCACTTTCACTCAAATTTGACACAGCACAAATCCAGTCTAGGGAGCTTTACATGATTTCAGGGTACCAGGCAGACAGGATCCCATGGATGGACCAGACCCAGTGGGTCATTTCACCCCAGCTAAAATATGGGCAGTCAGATGGAGAGTTAGAATAGTCACAGAACTGAAGATTTGGGGGAAATTTTGCTTTCTTTTACACAGATTTTTTTAAAGTGCCCCATCAGCTGAAGCAGCATTTAATAAGAAATAAATTGTGGCTGCCCCATCTTGGAAGTGTTCAAGAAAAGGTTGGGAGCAACCTGGTCTAGTGGAAGGTGGTTGGAACAACAAGATTATGAAGGTCCTTTCCAAGCTGAACTATTCCATGATTCTCTGACCCCTTTAGCATCTCATTCATGGTATCTTAAAACCATAAGGAGAGGACTTTTAGTGGGCACAGAAATAAGGTTTGGTTTTGGGGTGTATTTCCCTCCTCATCCCACCTGTGGATCTCAGGCTCACTTCACCTGTGTCTCCTTGCAGACTGGCTCTGATCATCACCATCCAGGTGCTGCAGCTCCACTTTTCCCAGTTTTTGCAGAGATTCCATAATTTCCATCTTCAGAAATGCTTTTCCTCTGTGATGGGTGAGGTAGTGACCAGGCTGTCCAAAAAAACAAATTAAAGGCTGCTTGTTAAACAAAACTGGTGTCTGGCAGTGGGGAAGAAGGCTCCCAAATTCTGGGTTTATCCCCCCAAACTGGTGGCATTTGCTCAGATCAGGGTGTTTGGTTCTCATTTGGTTGCAATTCCTGGCTGGCTGGCAGCCTGCAGGTGGAGAGGAGCCAAGTTTTCTCTGGAGATGACAGTTTGCTAACAGATGTCTGGTGTTTCCCAACACAGTTAGGATGGGAATCAGAAGCTACTTCAGCAGCTGGGTAATTGCAAACCTTTGCTCCTCACATTTTCTAGTTCATCAGCTGCCTGGGTAACAAGATTATTTAATTATTTTTGTTGTTGTTCATTGTTTTAGGAGGCAAAGCTTGAAATATCTCTCACAGCCATTACCATCCTAGGAGGCAGTGGCCCATTTAAATGCTGGGAAACTCCAGGAGTGTGAGGAACCACAGGATTTCCTCTCCCCTTGGGCACAGCATTGCCTAGAAATCTGGGCTGTGTCTCCTGCACTGCCACTTCAAAGGATTGGGATATTGGAAGGTGGAATTTCCTCCTGATTGCTCTGATGTCTTGTATGTGGTGCCTGTCCATGCCCAAGAGGAGGCTGAGGCCAGGCAGCTCCTCAGGAACAGGTATTTTATCTGGAGGCAGGGAAAGCAGTGGTGTTCCCAAGCCCCAGCTCTTCCAGAGGAGGATTTTTGCCATACAGATTCACAGGAAATCTGGGAGAAGAGCTTGGAGGCTCTGCAGGATGCTCCTGCCTAACTCAGAGCTGAACATCTCCTGTGCTGCTCTCTGAGGTCCCACTCTGCTGTCAGCTTCAGGAGTGGGCTGTGAGCCCTGCCAAGGGTGGGCCAGTCTCAGTAGGTGATGAAAACCTGCTTCAATAAGCAAAAAATTCCATGAGGAGAACACTGGGAGTTGATTCCTGGTGTCCCACCAGCTCCTGTGAAAAGCTCAACCTTCATTTTAAAAGCTCTTTATTAAAGGCTGTTCATTGCTTTTGGATCACACCTTCCCTGTATCTTTTCTTCTTGTGCACTTCCAGCTGGAATTTTCCTGGCATTTTGACGTGGGATGAGCAGCACAATTACCAAAATATCCAGGGAAAGGCTCTTTTTTAATTACAGCTAATTCCACTGGAGACAAACAAGCCCAGAAATCCCAGTGCAGGAAGCTCAGGCCTGGTGTGTGCACAGCTCCAGTGTGTGCCTGTGATGCCACTTGTGCCTCCAAGGTGTCTTCCCAGCACTCCTCCCATCAATTAATTCAGGAATTTGAACTCTTCCAGAGTCAGAAAAGCATGTGATTATTTGGGAAGTCTCCAAGCATGGCATAAGGCTGGGATTTACAATAAAACTGCTTGATTAAAGAAGAATGGCATGAGGTTGTGGCATCTCCAAGGTGGAGAAAAGCACCCTGCCCTGGCACAGGTGGATTTATCCTACAAAGGAGTTAATTATTCTCACCTCATCCTGCACAAGTGGGGCCAAACTATCCCTGCTCTCATCCCACCTCTGTTCTGGGGCTGGGGCACAGCTGGGTGCACACAATGCTGTGCCCTGGGCTCTGGGATGGCCCTGCTGGAGCAGGGAGGGGACACCAGGTGTGGTCCCTTCCAGCCTGAGCCACCCTGTGAATGTCCCAAATATTCCTGACTTCCAGATTCTTTATGCTGATCCAGAACTGAACATTTTCCTACAGAAAAATATTAATATATTAAATATATTAAATATATTAAATTTGTTAAATATATTATTATTACTATTACTATTACTATTACTATTACTATTACTATTATTATTACTACATAAATTTACAGAAGCTGCCTTCTGTATTCCTTAGCACTTCCCTCCCAGTGCCTCTTTACTTTGGGAGGTAAAATCAAACACCACAGATGTTTTTTACCATTGCTCTGTCAAGTGAGGAGCTCACACTGCAGAACCTTGGGAGCTTCTGTTCAGGGAGCAGCACGCTCAGCTTCAGGAATTTGGAAGGAATTCTAAACTCCATGATGAGGATCATACCCCTGGGTTCTGATTTAGCTTGGGAATATTTGTATTTTCATCTTTTTTTGTGAAGATATTTATCCTCCAGCTTAGCAGGTTTGGAATGCATAACAACTTAATTTATATGAATTTGGTGTTTAAGTGGACTTGGACTTTTGTAGCTGGGAATAAAACAGAATTCCAGTGGGACTGTTGTTAGTGGGCATGAGAAGAGATTTTTTTGCTTGTTTTTTCCTGTGTTTTGATTTCACTGCATATTTTTGGCATTTCTTTTGGGGTTTGGAGGTTTGTTGCACTGTATTTAGGAAAAAAAATGCATCCAATTTGCTTCATCTGCTTTGCTGCACTTGTGTGTTCTCACTACATCCAAGGAGTGTGACAGAGGGAATTGGCCAAGGGATTTCCCAAAGCAATGCCAAGAATGCAGCAAGTGTTTTTCTAAGCAAAATAATGCAGGTTTTTTTGACATGTTCCAATGCAAATCCAGAAGATTTCAGCTTCCTTGCCCAGGAAGGTGTCCCTGCCCATGACAGGGAGGTTGAAATCAGATGGTCTTGAAGGTCCCTTCCAACCCAAACCATGGTGTGACCCTGGCCCTGAAATTTTACCTCTATTTGTGCATTGGCAGAAAATTTTCCAAGCTGGGATTTCATCTTCCTGGCAATTAGAAATCATTAAAGGTGTTCAACTGCTCTGTCCATTCATCACAGAAAGGAGAGGCACTCACTGCTCTGTCAGCCCTGAAATGGTGGCTGTGCTGTGCTTTGAGAGGGGACATTTCAATCCTTTTTTAGTGCCAGCTCAGCGTTCGCCTCGTGATGAGCACGGAGGGATCAATGAGCAGCTGTGGCACACAAGGTTATCCCAAGTTCACAGCAGGCTCCGAGCTGATTGGCTTCCAAAGTCAGATGCATCAGGAGCAAGGTCACCAACAGGATCTGGTGACAGCATAAAAAACAAAGCAGAGCTGAAGTAATTTGTTGACAGCAGCCCCTGGGAGAAAATTGTGCTTTATTGCCTCAGATTTGGGGCTTTGTGATGTGACCTTTCACATTGTTGGACTCTTATTTGCAGGTTTCCCTTTTCACTTGGAAAATGATGGAGTTTTGCTCTCTCTCCCCCATTGGCATTGAGGTTTTAAATAGAGCAGAGGAGGTGGTTTGAAGGGAATCTGTTAATGAAATAATCAGGGTGGGAATGTCCCAAAGCTGGCCACGGGAGTGGGATGGTGGCTCATCTTCCCACTGCTGTTACCCTGCACCAGCAAAGCCTCCAGTGATTATTCCCTACTGTTAATTCCAAGCTATTCCAGCTAAAATGAAGCCTTGCACCCTCCAAGCCTCTCTCCATAATCCAGCCAACTCTTACCCCATAAAGTCACCCACAGCCAAAGGTTGGACACACCCAGGGACTCTCCAGCAGACAAATGTCACATTTTATGGAGGGGGTGGATCCTTCTCATCCATTTCCCCTCCAAGCCTTTCTAAAAATACCCTAAACCTTAACAAGGAGCTATTTTGGGGGAATTATGGTCATGGACAGGCATGGGAAGCTGATTCTGGCAGGCTTGCTCGGGTTGGAGTTGCATGTTCCTTACTCAGGCACGTGGTGCTGTGGGGATAAACAGAGAGCATCAGGATTTTGGGACCTACTGGCTTGGGATGGCTGCTCTGAGTGGGTTTAGAGGAGGAGAACAAGTGAAGATATCCTTATAGAAATGTTGATCTGTGCCTGAAGTCATTCATTTCAGGCATTTGCAGCTTTATCAGATCTGATTTCATAAAACCTGGCTGGGATTTCTCTCCGGGGACCTTTAGTGATCCTGCCACTTCCAATAAACATTTATAGAAACTGCTGCCAGCCTGTGGATATGAGAAACTCCTAGGAGAGACTTCTATCTTCCAAAAAATCCTTAAAGACACCAAAATATTTACAAGCAAACCTCACCCAGGAGAAGATGGATAGAAAATGCCCAGCCTTGGGAGCTGCAATGCGGTGCCAGGCATTGGCTTTGCACCCTCAGTAGGGATGTTTGCTATGGAAAAAAAAAACCCCATTAAATTTGAAAATTTGGAAAATCGTGCCCTCCGGAGCCATGCTGGGATTGGGAGCAGCAGAAAAGTGAATTTTGAGAGCTGAGATGGAAGTGCAGCAGGTAAAGGCTGGCCCAGGCTCTCACAGCTCAGGGACGGCAGCGGCGCGCGCCGCTCAGGTTTGCACCTCTAAGAAATTTCCATTTTTTCGCCTCAAAACCTCCAGATATGAAGCCGAAGCTGCCTTCTTTGCCAACCTGAAACTGTCGGATTTCAACATCATCGACACCCTGGGAGTCGGAGGCTTCGGGAGAGTGGAGCTGGTAGGTGACCTCTTCTTCTTTGTGTCACATCCTCATGCAACTGCTGTGTTAAAAGCTTAATTTTCTTTGTTATCACGCCCCAATAACCCCGAGAAAAATGATCTGCTGGGATTGTCTAGTGAAGCAAGCTGACTTACATTTCCTGAGACATAAAAAATGTACCAATAAATGCTTTGCAGTAGGCAAGGAGGATTTATGTCCTAGGCTGAGAGAGGAGCACACATCTCCTCTCTCTCTTAAGTGGTTCATGGCATTGATTTATGGCCTTTTAAAAGCAACCTGGAGAATTGGATGAGCGCTGGGATTGGAAGAGCAACTTAAAATCTTTTTTAACCAGATTCAGAGTAACAGTAGAAAGCTTCTCCCACACTTTTTTTATTCAGTTCTAGAGTGGTTGCACTTGGTTATCCTCAAAGCTGAACACTCAGCGCCCGACCCATGAAAACACACCCCAAACAGGGTGCAAAAAAGACAAAATCCAAGCCTGCTTTTTGCCCTGCTTGCAGCTTTGGAGCTCTGTGGTCTCCTTTAAAGCAGAGCCAGAGGGGAGTTGTTTGCAGCACCAAGGCAACACAAAACCTTGGAGTAGGAAGAGGGAATTGGGTTACACCATGGAGGAGCTCCGGACACCGGACACTCAAGCAGAATGTCAGGAACTCCTGCAAGTCCGGGCACAGGGGGAACAGAGTCACTGTTGCCACCACAAAACCTCAGAGAAGCCTCCTCTCCATAACCCTGTGGGAGATGAACGATTGTAAAATGGGCAAAACCGGGTGGTTTTGGTGGTTATTTGTGACGTAAAGAGGAGATTCGGTGTGCAAAGCTCAGCTTGCTCTTCCCTGACTTTTTCTGACTAGATATGAAATCCTGTGGAGGAAAGAACATCTGTGGGACCACTGGTTCCTTCCTGGGGTTTTGGGTTTAATCTATGATTATTTTGTTTATGAATATTTAATTTATGAGTACTTTGAAGGAGTCACCTGCTGAGGATGCTTTAGAGCAGGAGGTCGTGCTCAAGCTCTCTTTTGAAGTCCCTTCCTCCTCTCCTGACACCAGGGATTTGCCTCTAAATTAACATCTGCCTTCTCCACCCTGTAGTGAGGGACCCACCAGTCTGGGGCTTGGTTTGAGCCTTGGGAAGGTTTTGGGTTCATTTTTAAGGGGTTTTGCCAACCTCAAAAACTTGGGAGGTGCAAAGTTTGTGTCCATGAGGGGTTGCTGGTGGGACCCTCACCAGTGGCCATGGCCAGGTGACATGGACAGCCTTTAAGTGACAAAAACCCCACCCTGGTGATGTGGGACCCTGGCCCAGGAGGTAGGAAGAACAGGAGATGCTCTGTCCCTTCAAGGTGTCAGCTCGAGTAGAAATATTCCATTCTGAGCAGATGTTCACACCTCAAAAGCCTCCAAGAAGCCCTGGAGCCACCTGATGTGGGAAAAACATTCCCAGAGGTTTTCTTCCAGTGTGGGTGCCCCTCTTCTGAACAGGAAAATGATGGATAGATGGATAAACTCATTTTTTTGTAGCTCTGAACTGCACATAGATAAAACATATTTAAAAGTGTAGCTCAGCACACCAGATTTTGTTGGTTTTTCTTGACCACAGAAGGAAATTTTGTTCCAAAGCCAAAAAAATATTTCTTTTGTCAAAACTGAGCCTGGAATTGCTGCCTCATGCTTCCACCTCCTCCATTAAAAACATGGTTTATTGCTTCAGGCTAAAAATGTGAAGTGTATTGGAGGAATTGGCTCTTTTATTGCCTGAAAATGGAAGTGCAGGAATGTTCCTGGAAAACATTCCCAGTTTTTGTGCTTTCCAGGAGTAAAATGGATCAAAAAAAGTGAAGGATGTGGCAAGGAAAAGGGATTTTATAGCTTTGGGCACAAAGCCTCAGAATGTCACCACTGGAGAGGGCTACTGGGGGAAACTGGAATATCTGGGACTGGGATTGGCCAAGAAGGAATAACATTCCATGGATGTGGCTTTCCAGACTCCTCTGGCAATGCTGGTGCCTTGGAGAGGTCGCCCTTTCCATGCATCCGTGCACAAGGATATGGCTTTTAGGTCAGACATCCTAAAATAGAAATTATTTTCAATTCCATGGGTATTACACATGGAAATCCCCTTTTGTCTTGATTTTCCGGGCTGTTTTGTTTTCTGTATCTCAGGGAAAAAATTCCAAAGTTTGGAATGAGTGGTTTTTTGCTCAGTTTTTGGTGGCTCTTCCATCATCCTTATGGATGCTCCTCTTCATCCCAAACTGGGCTATGCTATTGACTTTTATCTAGGTTTTCCTTGAGGGATGGAATCATCCAGGGTTGGAGGAACCAGAGTAAAAGGCAGGAGAGGACTTTTTGGGATGCATCCACTCCTTTTTACAGCTCAGCCTCCCTGCTTTATGTCAGCTGTGATTCTTCTGAGGTGGGATACAGGATTAACATCTGGAAAATAAGAATTTCAAGTGCCACTGGGATAGGGAATGTCACCTCATGTGACAGAGATGGAGGACAGGTGTCCCCAGCCCTCAGAAATCATCTCTGCTCACCTTTATTGCTCTTGGCTTTGTTCTTTAGTTCCCTTTTCACTCAAGTCCTGTGCTCCTGAGCATCTGCTCTAGGTCAGTTCTTCTGGGTTTAAATCAAGATTATTTTTGACAGCTCTGAAATAAACACATTGGAGTAGCTCAATATCCAGGATTGGAATAATTTTTCCATGGAATTGGTGCCTGTAGGTGGTGGCTGAGCACAGGGAGACTGAAAATCACATCCTTGCCTTCTGCACTCCTTCTGGCCTCGTGGTGGCCCCAAAAAGCCAAATTCCTTTGCAATATGGGGATTTCTAAAGGCACAAATAAAAACATGCACATAAAATGTCACAGCCATGTTTTACAGGCTCTGTACAAAGTGGACACAATTGGAATTTTTCAGCTTTGTTTTTTAAGAGAAATCTGGCCCCAGCTTCTCAAGTGCAATTAAAACTCCTCCAGCCTCCAGCCCATGTTGTAAACAAAGCCATTAGTGAATTAATTAGATAACAAGGAAAAACCCACTGCAATTGTCTTCTGATAGGCTGACAGATGCAGAACCCAGATATTTTTTGGTGGAAATTTCCAATTGTGCCCAATTTCCAATTCCCAAGGCAGCTGCTTTTCCTAGGTAACGCAAAGTTTTTTACTGGAAAGGTAATTTTTCTCTTGAAAATCTCCTAATTTTTGGGTTTAATTGTCAGGAATTGCCTCAAGCTGGGCCAGGGGAGGCTCAGCTGGGACAGCAGCAGCAATTTCTGCTTGGAAAGGGTGCTCAGGCCTTGGCAGGGGCTGCCCAGGGAGCTTTGCAGTGCCCAGCCCTGCAGGTGTCCCAGGAAGGGCTGGAGGTGGCACTTGTGGGATTTCTGGGCTGTTCAGATGGTCTGGGGAAAAGCCCAAAGATGGCCTTGGGCCCCCGGGTTCGAAAGGACGAGAGGAAGCTTCAGATTTGTTCTTGGTCTTGGTGTTTATTAATTGCTTATCTAAAAGATTTTCTCTTGGCCTGACAGAGTTCTGCTCAGCAGTCAGCCATGGGCACACACTGAAAGCCCCTGGGGCGGTCACCTATCTTTATACCCGGAGTTACGTATACAATATTTATCATTTTTCTCCAATACCCTCTACCCTTATTAACCAGTGTTCCCCTAGTAAGGTCCAATCCCGGAGTGCCAACATCACCACAGAAGATGGAGGTCTAGAGGAAGAAGAAGAAGGAGAAGGGCACGCCCCAATTCCTCCATCTTACTTCTCTAGACCCCCCTGTACAGAAATCTTAAGCCCTGTATCTCACACCCCAATTAACTTGTCCCTTCACCATTCACCCCAGTGAAATCCTCCCGTCCTCATACTGATGTCATCTCCCATGTGGGATCAAAGTCCAGCCACCAGACATTTCTGGCAGCATTCCAGGACTCCCGAGCCCCCCAGGGGGGGTCTTGTTCACCCTGCACCCCAGTTCTGAGAGACTGAGATCCCACATCTCCCCCTTCTGTTTGCACCAAAAAGATCTTTTTCGCCATCCGATTCATTGCATGTTTTAAACATGCAAATATGCATGGGACAACAAGTATGAGGACTAGGAGAACTATTAAAACATAAAACCCTATTTTTAAGATTCCTCTCCAAACGGGAGAGATGTCAAAGAATTCTGCCAATTGATCGATCCATGATCCTGTGATCTCACCAAGCTTATTTATGCTGTCCTTTATATTTTTGATATTTTCATGAATTGACTTTGAATGATCTGAGAGATTCATGCAGCACATCCCTTCGAACTCTTCACACCCATGTCCATGAGCGAGCAATAGATAATCGATTGCTGCTCTATTTTGAAGAGTCGCCTGTCTCACACTACTGACGTCTTTTAACATATCATCCAATGTGACAGACACAGACCGCGCATGTTTGCTCAACCAACAACCCATGCGGTCGATCTGAGTCAAGGCCACCCCCGATGCTGTCTGAGGTGAGAAGATTGCTGTAGCAATACTCGTTTTCTTGTCCCAAGAAAACATTTCATCATTGCAATCTGCTGCATATTGCTGTATTGATCTTTTTTCTCTGTGCCTTCCCTCTCTTAACACGTTCAAATCAGGCGATAGCATTGAAATTTCCCCAATGCTGCATGGACCTCCCGTGGCATTAGCAGGAATGCCGTGCCAAATTCTGTCCCCGCAAATTAAGAACAGACCCCGCGGCAATTGCACCGGAACTTGGATCGATCCTTTGGTAGTTCTCTTTGTATATTTACACCAAGCTGAGGCATTCTTATAAAATTCATGAGTGGGAGTTAAATCAATAGTTTTCACCTTTGCGTCTTTTGGAGCCTCAAACCGCATGCAGAGTTTCATTGTCATGGACCCAAAAATCTCCAATTCCTGAGGTTCTGTAGAAGCCACAGGAAGCAGGTGTGTCCAAGCACACCACTCTTTTATAGGATTTTTAATGACCTACGAAATGTTAATTGCAGAGTGC